CTGCCACGTTCAAAACCAGGACGGCGACAGTGATGGTGCTATCACGGGCATGGTCAGGGGAAAGTGGAGCGGGGGGGGCGAGCGTCAGCCAGCCAGGTACGGGATAGTAGAGCAGGCGCTTTGTGGGTGGCGGTGGGCGGCGGCGCTGGGTGGCCGGCCGAATCGTTAGCTGAGCTCCTCCCTCAAGCTCGATCACGCATGACGCACGTAACCTGACAAAAAAGTAATATATCTTTACTTCCAACACCCGGACGTGCCTCCACCGGCACGCCGCTTCCGACAGGGTGATGGAAGGTTCGACGCACCCCCGGACTGGGCGGAGAGATCCCATCTAGCTCCCCTTCTAGCTCTTAGCATGAGCTGCGCCCTGTGTCCGACCCCTTTTGCGCAGCAACACCTTAAACTTTCAGGCCCTCCAAATTTGGGTCGGAGCGTAGCGGAGTGGGCCCCGAGTTTGAAAAGGGCGACGGACGCTTGCGTCCTAGCTAGCCTCCAACAACGCCTCCCCGGCGCAGAGGGGCCCCCGGAAAAAGAAAGAAAGAAATCACACAACCCAAGGGAGGGATGGGAGGACGGCACGCCGCCACCACACAGGGATTTTAAGGAGAGGTGTGTGATGCGCTAGCCGTCGCCCACCCTAGGGGCCGGGCGGGTTATTCTCGTTTTGAGAGCTTGGCGGCGCTGCGCGGCCAGGGTCCTGGGTCCGAGCTGCTGTGCGATGGCCTCTTCATCCGGTGGCGCTGCCGCGACTGCCGCTGCGGCTGCCGCTAGGCCGGGCGCCCAGCTGGCCCAAACGCCCGACGGTCTCACACTTGGCGAGGATTTTCCGTACGTGTGCGAGGTTTTGCGTCCCGCCTCCACCGTCACTGCTCCGCCTCCTCGGCCGCCGTGTCCGCTGCTGCGCCTGCCACGGCCCGGCCACTGCCCGCGGCCGCGGCCGCGGCCGCGCCCGCCACTCGGGCGGCGGCCGTCCTCCGCTCACCGCCGCCTTTGCCGGACAGGTCTGCCTCGGTCCCAACCCGTACGTGCGGATGCTCAAGATGCCAAACTCGCGCGAGTGTAAGATCTCGGGCCGGCCGTACACCGCCTTCCGCTGGAAGCCCGGCTCCGAGGCGCGCTACAAGGAGACCATCGTCGCGGCCGAGGTTGCCATTGCGAAGAACGTCTGCCAGGCGCGGACGCCGCCGCCCTCCCCTCCTCCCCTC